TCCATAATCTCATGCTAAACATCCATCCATATAGTACACATCTCAAAGGTCTCATACCTGATTACTAACATTCATTGCTTAACAGGGAAATCTGGAAGCATATTTTAGAGGAGAATTTCGATACCAAGGAGAAATAAACAATTAATTTTTTTCTTCCATGTTCTCCCTTAAGATGGTTGATACAAGCATAATAATCCACAAAACCACATACAATTTTAAAGCTACCTACAATTCAGCTGAAATATCAACCATTTTGATACCAGTTGCTAAAGACTGTGCAGCTGAATTAATTGATATAATTTATAACATCCAGAAAAAACTATTTATCTCATAAAAAATCCACAATGGTAAAATTAGCCCACAAATTATTAAATACCAATATTTTATTTATTGCAGATCTGATTGGAATTCAACAAACTGAGCATTGTTCGGCTGTTCATTTTAAATTCAAAATTCTTTGTAGATAAATAATGAGAATATCCAAATCAAGGCCCAATCTCCTACATTTATTAGTATATTCTTAAGCCCTATTTATTTAAATTCTATGTTTCCTCTAAAAAGTGTTTTAACATAGGTATCAATTACATAAAATGAATGACTCAAACCAGGAAAAGGTATTGTCCTTGCCTCTGTCCACAGACATTTATTCGTGCAGTATCTTATTCTTAAAATGAATGGTAATTTCACACACATTTTAAATGAATAATTCATATATAGCTTCCAGAAAACAGAATTATTTGTCATTGTCATCTGCTATGTACACAGGGCCTGTAAGACTGTTTAAAAATCTTCTCAAATGTAAACATTTAAAAGTTTGAGAAGTTTAAAAATCTTCTCAAGCAGAGGGAGCATCCCGATTCTCCCACATTTTCCCTACCTTAATGTTTACTTAAGTGCATGAATAAATGTACCTCCCACTTTTTTCACCTTTAGCACTTTTTACAGGTCTTCTTGAAAACAAATCAGAATGAAACTTTGTTAAGTCATCGACTGAATTCAGACTTTTCTACTCCACCTTGGAGCAGAATTAAAATTTTCCAATTTAGCTTACTTTGCCTCAGGATCCAGGTTCCACCAAATCCAATATATAGTCACAGAAAACTCTGATGAAATTCCGAGGTTACTAAAGTTATGATGTTAGAATAATGTTGAACATAAAAAAGCATGCTTTTTGTGCTTTCTGCTAATCACTGTATATGTATTCAATATAAAGGTTTCCAGATACTAAGGCATTTCACTTTCTGGAAGTAAGAACTAATGAACTCATTTGTACTTACTTTGGAACACAGTACAAAGATAAATTTGTTACTTTAGTACAAAGATAAATCTAAGTAACTTAGTTGAGGAAAGAAAAGGCAGAAAGTACGTCAGGTTGGAATTTACAAGTTACCATTAGAACAGGAATTGTATTTACTTGATAGTCTACATCCTGTTTTTCAAAAGCTCAAGAGGCTTCCACCGGGATTGCACTTCATTTCATCTCCACAACACTCTTGTGAGATGGATTAGTCTGAAAGAGTGTGACTGGCCCAAAGTTACCCAGTAATTTTCCATGGCTAAAAGTGGATTTGAAGCTGGGTCTCCTGGATCAAAATTCAACACCTTAACCGTTATACTATAGCACAGTGATGGCTAACCTTTTCCGGACCAAGTGCCCAAAGTGCGCCCAAACCCCCCAAATACAATACGTGCATGCCCCCTGTCCCCCCCCCCCGTGCATGCACATGTGGCCCTCCCACAGGGCAGAGACCCAAAGAACAGCTAGCAGCAGGAGACACGTGCGCATGTGTGGCGCAGCTGAACTGGGGCGATGGCTCACGTGCCATCAGAGAGGGCGCTGCGTCCCACCTCTGGCACACATGTCTTAGGTTCACCATCATGGCTATAGCATAATGTTCATAATGCTTATATTGCTAGATTGCCCTTATTACTCATGTTATAGAAGCATATAAACATTTTAACACTTGGTATAGTGACTAGGGAAACAGCAAAGGAGTCATTCTGGGAATAGGAATGTGGATGGAGAATGGATTTCAAAAAAAAGACCTAGAAATAAAAAGGAGGGGAAAAAGAGACAGAAATGATGCTCTTGACAGCAAGAAATATTTGATATGAAATATTTAAATCTTTGCTGCAAGGGTAATTGGAAGTTTACTTTGTTTTAAAAAAAACACCTTCAAATATTGCTCCACTTCTACATAGTTAAAAGATAAACACATTATCTTAAATCCTCATCTTCCCATTGTAAAAAGAAGACATACACATACATAGTAGGTTATTTATATTCATAGCAGTTAGAGAATTCATTTGTTAATTAGGTAATTTAGTGGACCTATTGATAGACAAAATTAAATTTTTTAAAAATGACATACAATAAGTGAAAGTTTGATTCAAAAGTGGGGTTGAAAGACTAAATAACTGAAATGATTGATTCTTCTTATGACCTAGAGTCCCACTGCTACAGCTACAATAACCTGGAATGCAGTGATGTTGTGTTCGTGGATCAGTAGTTAAAAGTACTGTCACAGCTACTTATACAAAGGCATTATTTTTCCAGCAATTTATAACTTGGCTATAAACATTCACCGCAGTTTGAAATATTGGCGTAGGAGGACTCAGCTCTGAGTGAATGCTAATATTCTGCCCTTCAAAGAAACATGTGGATTTGATTGATTATATGCTCTTAGTGAACACATAGACTTCTTCCAAGATGATCTGTCTCCAATATGGCTCTTCAGGTCTTCCAAGAGTAAAAAATCAATTACCTGTACCACAAGTTACCAGACTGCAAGGGGGAAGGGGAGTAATTATACTTTCCTTGGGCAATTATAAATTACATTCCCAGTTTTAAATAATTTGAATGTAGTAGATGATTACTACATAAACACTATTCAGCTGTGCTTGATGGAGTTTTTTTTTAAATTTCTTATTACATCATTTTCATTAATATAATTACACAATACTGAAATAAAATTATGTCAATGTCTTAAACTGCTTTATTAACAATGGTAATTTTATTTTGCAATTTATCTCTAACCAGATTTTTTTCATTGTCTAAGACCAAAATGAAATTCTGTTTATTGTTTCTAAAGTCCTTTAAACCGAGTTCTGGAAGTCTCTGTTTTACTATACTTCCAGAAGATTAAAACCATTAAATATTAATTTAATATTAATTTAATAATAGCACAGGGTGACATCTATATTTAAACAATTATTTTATTTATTAGTGACCCTGAGTATGAGTTCCAACTCAAAACACTGATGATGTTACCTAGTTTGGGTAATGAAACAATCGAGTTCAGAGAGCATCAAGGACCTCTCAACTTGAAGTCTTCATGCTTTTGCAATCTATAACAGTATGGTGCTAAACCTTTATTTCTGAATAAGAGTTTAATATTTTCACATTTAATAGAATGCATTTAAATTGTCTTAACCAAACCTATGTACTCTGCAAAATACTATTAACCTAGGGATCAACATAAGAAATTTAAAAAGCAATCTCCTTGTGGTGACCAAGCAGCACTGAATGACATTCTCTTTGGCAAACATAATTAAAGAGAAAAAATGACAAATAAATCTTGACATGAAATATGTTTATTTGCTCACAAATTGTTTAAAACGTTTTGGTTCTTTGTAATAAGGATAAAAGGAATATTTCTCTGCTTGTTGAAACGTCTGTTCACCATCGGTCACTGTTAAATGTCTCAAGGTGCAATAAACTAACACATACATATATAAACAAATCTTTATACTGAATATAGAAAATATTAACAGGATCTAGATTTCAGAAGGTCAGTTTGAGTAACGTGAAAACATAAATGTAAAAAAAATATTGTAACTAGACTGTATTAAATCAGTGGTAGAGCGCATATTATCTACCTCTAATATTCAAATGAATGTGCTTGTAATTTATCCTAGCAAATAGCTTTAGACCAGGGGTGTCAAACTCGCGGCATCACGTGATGTATCTGGACTTTTTTCCCCTTCGCTAAACCGTGGGTGGGAGTGGCCAGTGCGTGACTCATCCTGTCTCCGGGCCGCGGGTTTGACAGCCTTGTTTTAGGCAATGTAAAAATGATAAGAACTGAATATTTATTTATTTACAGAATTTATGTGGCTGCTGGCTAAACTTTAACAATATGACTCAAAATGGCTTACAACCCACCCAAACTACAATAAACAATAAAATTAATGACAGACAACCTGATTCACATTCATACTATTTCAGAGTCGTTTTGTTACAAGATGGTGGCAAATAAATTTAATAAATAAATTTCCTGATGGGAACTTACTCAGGCCCCAACACTCAGGGTAGTCATATTTTAAGCCCTTTTTAAACAGGGCCAACTGAAAAATGGGAAGGAGATTGTCCCAGGGGGCAGACACCATTACTGAAAAGGCAGCTATTTGGTTCCTATCATATGGCACTGTTTCAGTGAAGAGATCCAAAGCATGCCCACTCTATTAAAATGAGAGAGACAAGCAGATGTCTTTAGAAAGAGGTAGTAACAAAAATAACTCAATCCTTTGCCCGATAGGATTATAAGTATAACCAGCATCTTAAATTGCACCGGGAAACTATTAGAGAGCCACTGAAGTTCACATAGTGCTGTTACATGGATAACCCAAGGTGTGCCCATAACTACCCACACTCATTCATTTTGGACCAACTGTAGCTTTCAGATGGTCTTTAGAAGAAGCTGTCCTGTCCTGACCCACAGAAATTACAGAGGTATTTTTATTAAAAAGGTTTTCAAAAAGAATTCTAATGACAAACAGCTTAAACAAGAAGGCAGCTAAAGAGTTGAGGAACATGAGATAAATGGAGAGTTGTCACCAACAGATCTGTGAGGTACATGACTCCCCTTATATTATGGTGGTATGACCTGGATTTGTTCCTTTGACTGGGCAGGACTTAGTACTTTGTTCAGCCCTCCTCTCCTCCCAGCAGGCCTTTGCATGGGTGAGGAGGTTGGCTCCGCCTCTTCTGAGGCCAGTGATAACTGCCTCTCTTGGTTGCTATGCAACACTGCTTTTTCTGCTTGCCAACTCTTCCAGTTGAATCACTTCAGGCTGATAAGCCTCTTCATTTTCCAAATCTAAACTGACCCTGACATTATCCCCCCTCCCCTGCAGACTAAGCTCTGGGCTTCTTTGGATACCATCAATGAAACAGGCATGTGAGGCAGGGAGGAAGAACATCACTGACATCGTCCTAGGAATGCTCCTATGGTGCATAACCTTTCCAATCCACCAGATGCTAGAGACAGCTCTAATGGAGCCAGGAGTCCAGAATGTGGGTTACCAATATTATTCAGGTTCCCCTTCAAGCACAATGGATGGTGGGACCAGTATGGAGGAGCAATGAGGGTTGAGAGGCAGCAGGATCAACAAGGAATGATGAAATACAGGATGAACATGGAAATTGAATTTGAGCCGGAAATCATTGGGTTGATAATAGCTTCCATTGGGATTAGCCCTAGGTAGCAGTGATCCTATTTCTTTATTGGGTTACAGGTAGCAAGATACTTAGATGACACCCATTCTAAGTCCACACAACTCAGAGGATTGGCCTGGCAACAATGGTCAGCAAAGTTTATAAAATCCCTGGCCTTCTGTAACTGATTTTGAAGAATTTGATGAATAGCTTGCAGTTACTGAAAGAGCTATCTGAATTTGGGACAGAAAAAGCTGGTGATTCAATGGAAAAAAATCAGAGGTGGAAGGCCTAGTTAGCGTTGAATGGCATTTGGCTGGAGGTATATTGTGCATTATTATAAACAATAATGCTAGCTCCCCCTGTGCTAGCTGTCCTGGAGTTACACAGGGAAGCAGAGCAGAAAAAAGGATATTCAAAACCCTAAAGTATTGAACTGACTCAGGTGATCTACGGTGTAGAATGATACAGATAACTGCAGGTCTATTATTATTAGAATAACCCAATTCAAGAAGAAAGTATTTCTGAACTGATAGCACTTTCAAAACATCCCAATTAAGGAAATTGCTGTGTCCTGCTCCATAGAAAAATGGTGTGACTGATCAATGCTTTAGTACCTCTGTTCTTCAATGTTTAGAAGCCATTCAGTAAAAAGCCTCCTTATTAGCTTTCTTTTCATTATGCTCCAAGCAAGTACCAGTATTTTTGAGGATTACCTACAGTGGATTTGTAGAGATCTAAATGAGATGAATTGATGCTCTTCTACTTGCATATACATAGTTCTCTCCTCCAACCACAATTGTGCCTGGATTTCCATCAAGTGAAGCAGCTGTTAAGGGAGACATATGAGACTGCTTTGCTCAATGACTGCAATCCCAGGTCACCCAATTGTGGTCATTAAGTGAACAAAAGTGGAGCACTAGGAGAGGACCTGGGCCTCCCAGGCTTAGTGGAGTAGATTATCAAGAATTGCAAGCAAGTAAAAGCAGTAGGATAAAGTTCTGAAATGTTCTCATAGTTTAACTCATTAACCTAGATTACATGATTGTTGCAACTATAAAAACAAAAGTATCTGAAACTATGCAAATTATGTCTTTTTTAAAACAAGTGGTCATAATAAATTATAAAAATGTCCTCTCCTAGAAATAATCTTCATTCTACCCAATGCATTCACTTATTTGCAATTTCTGGTTACCTGAAATTACCACTTAAATATGAATTTAAGTGGTAGCTGCACTAAGATAATAATCCTCTTATAAAATGAACCTAATGGATACACCGGATTCTGTTCTGGCAGCTAGTTTCCATTTCTAATTATAAAGTTCGAAGGAAAAAGTAATCTGTGTACATTTCCTTTTTGGGTCTTTCTCCAAATGAACCACAAAGCATAGCCTTATACCAGATAAAGCCTATAGCCATGATGGCGAACCTCTGGCACATGTGCCACAGGTGGCACGTAGAGCCATATCGGTGGGCACGCGAGTTCAGCTCCGGCGCGCATGCGTGCACTGGCCAACTGATTTTCGGGCCTTCCGGTCCCACAGGAAGTCAGAAAATGGGCCATTTCCAGCCTCTGAAGGGGGGCGAGGCTGTTTTCGCCTTCCCCAGGCTCCTAGAAAGCCTCTGGAGCCTGGAGAAGGCAAAAAAACAGGCCTATAGACCCACTGGGTCATCGCGTGCCAAAAGTGGGGGGAGCGCAGGGGGTTGGGGAGCACAGAATTATGAGTGTGGGCACCTGCACACGTGATCCCCCTGCGCTCCCCCCACTTTTGGCACATAATGGCAAAAAGGTTAACCATCACTGGCCTATAGAAATTTCAAGTATATTCAGTAAATTTTAAAAGTGATCGCGCGCAAAGCGCATGCACGAAGAGAACCGGTAGTAAAGCCGGTTGGAACCCACCACTGCCCCATATCTGTCCACTTAGCAACCTGTGATTTTCACCATACAGTGTTGAACGAAGGTCACATGACATCTCACCTAGTGACCACTTCACTCACCCATCAAGATTTCAGTCCCAATTGTGGTCATAAGAAAGGACAATCTGTAGTGGCCTCATCAGAACTGACGGAGCCAACTTTGGAATCTAAGCTGTTTTAATGATGCAAATGGAAAGGCAGTGGGACTACTCTAGGTCTCACACTCCATTCCCTCAATTTAAAAAAGAGAAATACTCAACTGTCAAGTCTCAGCCATTTTGGTATTGAATTTTTAGTAGCATGATTTTCCGATGGGGAGAAAGGTATAAATGGGATATTGAAAGTCTGGATGGATCCCTGCATTGTCCATCCTTGTACTGGATATTCATCTGACCACAAGATAAAGAAAAATATAATAGAAATGTCTCTTATATGATGAATACAGGGAAAATCCATCCACTTCATGTTATTTGATCAAAGTTTGTTCAAGCAGCCTTTACACATCTCACAATGCTGATTTCTAACAAGAGATCAGTGTATTTGTGGCTGTTAAGACGCTTCAACAGGTAGAAAAATTCAGTTGGCTGCATAAAATCACTTTTATTTTTCTTCTAGTGATACTCAGCTGTCACTACAGGTAGCTCTTCTGATAATTTTGAAGCAACTGGGAGTGCAGGGGGTGGCTGCAACAAATAAAAGGTAATTTGGGGGAGGGTGTATGGAAAGCAACATTATTTTTTATAGGTAAAATCACCATGACTTTATAAAATGAATCATATGTAAGTACATTTGCGATTTTAAGTATGATTGATGTATAAAACTCAACATTTCAGTTTATTCAGACAATAAAAACATTGCTTGAATTTAAAATCATTTTAATATTAATTGCAAATATAGCTACAAGCCACTGAAATCTGGAGAATTAAAGAGATGGCAATATATAGCCACCATTTTGTTAGTTGCTTGTCAGTTTCTTTGATGTCCAAATGAAATGTCCATATCAGATGACTTTTGATATTCATGCTGAAATGTCCCCATTTCTTCAAATAGTTTGGTGAGTGTTGCCAATCTCATTTTAACTGTCAGTCCATAGTATAATTAAGAGAAACTACCATTTTCAACATTTATGGTCATATTAATATACTAAACTATCAGTACCACCCTTAGTAACTTTGATATGAATATTCATCCTCCTTCAAAATAACTTCCAATCACAACTAATATCTTCTGAGGCAGAAGCCCTATTTGTTTAATATTAACTTACCAGTAGTTACAATTTTATCAGATGAATGAGGCCTTTAGAACAAAACTAATAATACACTAATAAAATGTAAATACTAATATCATGCTATGCAATTGAACTCTTAATATTTATATATTTTAAGTATATAAGGCAGGATCCAATACATATGCCTTTTCTATAAAATCATTTCTCACTTGGCCAGGACAATTCTAGAGCAGATTTTGAGGGCATTCACAAAGATTTGTTGAAGAAAGGAAGAATAGTTTTTATTTCATAATAAAAACTTTGTGGAAATATTTAATTAAAATCCATCCATAATACAATTTATCATTAAAGAACAGATTACCAGGTTGTCCAGAACTATTTGTAAAAAGCAAAGCTTCATTTAAGACAAGCCTGATTCCTAGTGATTTTATGGATGTGTCCATGTAGTTTTCTTGGTTTGCTATTGTCTTCTTCTGATTTTTTTTTTTTTACTTTCCAGTCTAGGTATATCCATGATACTCCCTGATACTTCAGCCAAGTATCAACCAAGTTCAAGCCTTGCTTAGCTTAAGCGCAGACAAGAATGACCATCTACTATCTCCTGGATCATCTATTTTGAATTAAATATACTTTCTAAAAAAACACATATTTAAATTGCTATTCATTACAAATTATTACAAATTAGTCATTTTTGGGACACCTGCCTTATAATTATCTATTGATAATGTCTAATTTAAAACAATTAAAATGTTGAACATCAAATCTTAAAATTAGTATCAAAATATGATCTAAAAAATTTCTTAGTCGTTATTTACATTTATTTTATAGCAATAGCAGTAACTTATACTATCACCAATTGTCTGATGAAACCTATTTCCAAACCACTTGTGTACATGGTTATTCTTCCAGTTTAACAATACATGGATTTGTTTCTATAGTATATATTAATGAATACTCTACCTTTACTCTGGCAGCAAATGAAACTCATTCCATAACTGTCTCTGATTGCCTGATTTTGTTTTGTAACACAGCTGTGTTTCATACTGCTTTATAATTTTATCTCTGATATTTTTTATTAACAAGGAACCCCTATAACCTAATTTAAGCTTCAAATCATTGAAGGGAATAAAAATAATTCTCTAGTGTTAAAAAACCTTACTAAGACATATAAACTATTTATTAATTTTGAATATAAACGGCTTCATCTACCTTTTAAATAAATGATTGTTCGAAGTTATGGTGGCACTGAACAAAGGGACTTATGATCTGTCTCTGAAGTTAAGTGATTGCACAGCCTCATGATCAAAATTAAGGCACTTGGCAGCCTGCTCACATGACCCCAAGGGAGCTTCAACTCTCCAACCCATCTTTCCCTATGTCCTTTTAATCCCCTGCCACCCTGCACGCTGCTGTTCCAACTGACATTCACCATCTTCTTGCTCCCACTGCTGCTGAGGTGTGTCTGGCCTGACCCTTTGAGATAGCCGCTGGCTGCATGAAGCTCTCTTCCTCATGCTATGGAGTAGTTTTTTTGCAAGATCTGGAGAAGATGGCCACATGGCTAACAGCTGCCTTGCAAAGATCAGGGTGACAGGGCAACAGGGGCCTTGGAGTGAAAGGTGATAAGGACTATTAGGGCAGCTGTGACTTTGCACCATGCTACAGCCGAACTGTGCTGTGGCTCAGGGCCATCTTGTAGCCACAGAGCTGTAGCACACCAAGAAGCCCCTTTGCACTGCACTGCTGAGCCAGGTTGGATCTGGGCTTCACACTGTGGTTAAGGGCCTTTTTGCAGTTCCAGGGCTGCAAGATATCAAGAAGCCCGAGCTGCAATGGGGCAAGTAGGGAAGTTAGCGGCACTCCTTTTCCTTACTCAGGCTTGAGCTGGGAGGGACAAAGCCCCAAATGGTTTGCCTTGGCTTGTGTGGGTCCTTGGCTAACAATTAATAGAGTTTGCTTAATGATAGTAATGGGGAGTGCTGGAATTGTCATCCTTAAGCAATACAATCATGTGACATGGCACTTTATGACCACAGCAGTGGAAATTCTGGTCCCAGTTGTGGTTATAAGATCAGGTAGGTGATCAGGTATTTCCATTCTTCTGAATATAAAATTAGAGAACTCCTACCTAAAATATGATTGTGCCCATTTCAGGAATCACTCTGAAAGATCATCCATTTACCTTATCTGATTAATAACATGACTCCACACTGAATATATCAGTTAACATTTGTTCAAGATTGTCAGATATTAATTAATCAGATGATAAGACCTGATAGTTCCCATAAGAACACACTTATGTTTTCTAGATCACAGAAGGAATTATTACATGATTCAAAAGGTTAAAAATTGATAAACTAGTGTGATATTTCCCAGCCACACCAATTTTTTGAAGATACCAATTTGAGATCTTTGAAACAAGGATGAGATTACACATGTAATAAAACACATGATAAAAATTTGCTCTTTGAGTAATAATAGGGATATAATAGTCAGGACTTTTATGACCATGCTTATAACCAAAATGGATCTGCATCTACAACAATGTAGGTCGTTGTGGTAGCAAACTGTAGCAATATTAAATGCTGCAACAGGAGGGAAGGGAATCAGTGGTAGTTTCAATGGAAGTGATATCTATGTACAAACCCTAACATAAAGACGGTTAGAAAAAAAAACTTTCACAGAGTTGTACTGAATTTTCTGGAGGACACTGTTAATTTAATATACAGAGAATGAGTGTATTGTTTGCATCAATGTACTTTGAGAAATTAACTTTTTGGATACTATCTGGTGCACCAAAATTTCTGAATAATTTAGAGATTATATTCCTCCCAGAAAGCAAAAAAAAAACTTTACTTTTTTCAAAGTAGCTAATCTAGAGACTTTTTTTTATTTATTAATCTAATATAGGGAAATGTGCTTTAAATTCTTGGACTGGATTCACACTATGTACAGAAATCTCCCCCATGCCTAGTTTACTTTTCTTAATGAAGGGACAATGAAACTGTCAGGGTTCCAAGTTAACACCCCCAATGAAATCAAACTCCGAGGCTTGAAGTTCCTCAAAGCTAACTTTTATTAGGGATGTCATATTGGCACATCTGGGAAAAACCAAATCTGAAAGCTTCCGGGTTTTCCTCACCCACAAGAAAGTTCAAGATCTTGCCCACATCTCCCACACAGCTCCAATCAGTTCTTTCCTGAACAGAAGGCATCCTCCAATTTCTTCTTTGCCGGACACCATGGCCTTGAACTTCTCTTAGAGAAGTTTGTTATGGCTATCTCTACTTCACTCATGCAATCCCCCCTCCCAACTTCCCACGGTATGTTTGTGGCAGGCCTGGATCCTCAAGACACAGAGGTAATATGGCTTCCAGGCATGACAGAAACAGATAACAATGAATTGAGTCTGCCACTACTTCATTTTGCAGTCAGAAGTTCTGATTTGCTAAAAATTACAGATTGCATTTAACACTACAGTATGGACTCACATCTATATTGAAGAACTAGAAAATCATTAAAAGGGTTACATACAATCTGATCATGCACTTAAGTCTATAGGGAACCTTTTTTTGCCTTTTGCAAGGATTTCCAACATTATTTGGGTCAATTGGCACACTTAAGAATTTTGGGAGTTATGTGGGCATTATTATTGCATCCACCTATTCCTATTTTCTAATTCCATCTCTGGAGTCATAAAGCATAGTTAAAATGCAAGTTTGATTTGAGGTTGGTGGTTTGCTTTGCAGCATGATAGTTTTAATTGGAAAAGAGTTGAAAACTACCCACAAACAACATTTAGCAAGCTGAGAGTTTGATGATCACTAAGAAACGTATCAATGAGTACATTGTCATTTCAGGGCTCCCACCATTCCATAAGCATCTTAATGTTCTGAGTTTCAAGCTCTGCATAGAAAGCAACTACTTTTTCTTTCCTTAATAAATATTTTATTTTTTGCTCATGTAAGCTATGTTCATGTGTACCTCAATCTTATATGCTTTTTTTACAAGTTATTCCTGCTTTGTTCAATGGTTTTTACAAATATAGATCTCATTAACCAAAACCATGTTACTTATTTTGTGTACATAATAGAAAAACAGAAAAAATATTATTTTTAAGCAAAAATAAAGCTACAGTGTAAATAGTACATATGATAAAACATCCAGAAGTTTAGATTCTGTTCTTATTCTGAGTAAATATTCCATTTAATAGCAAACCAATTTTATTTTTACTAGAAAATAACCTGAAATGTACCAACATAATTCATGTTGAGATTAAGAAATCAACTTTTTACATTTCAAGAGGAATCTTTCTTGAAATCTCCTGAATGCTACCATGTTCCAAGCTGAATCCTTGTGATTACTCTTCAGTTTTCTTCTGTTCTTGAGTCATCAAGTTTATGATAATCAGGATACTATTTATCTGTGCAGATTACTGTAAATAGGCCACAACTATCTCTTCCATGTTAAATACGAAACAAAAAGTTAGGATGCAAAAAGCACTTACCTGTAAACTTTATAACGTATAGAGTTCCATGTAAGCCAGGCTCACGCTTAAATGCACTATTAATAGGATATTATGGCTATATATGGCCAACATGAAAAACGCTGCAAGTGTGGGGATCAATAGAACAATTAAGAACATTTTGAATCTAATATCCCAGAACTGCACTGACTTCCCCGTTAAGTGTTTTTTGCCCAAGCATGCTACACCATACGTACATGTAGTTCTTAATTATTACTGAGAAGCAACCACAACTTTACCACCATTCCAGCAACCAATTTAGAACTGTATATTTAATTTGGATCCCTCCTTTATTGTTTTTACAAATAGCTCAAGGTGGTGAACATATCCAACACATCTTCCTTCTCCTGTTTTCCCCACAACAACAACCCTGTGAAGTGGGTTGGGCTAAGAGAGAGTGATTTGCCCAAAGTCATCCAGCTGGCTTTCATAGCTAAGGAGGGGCTTGCAACTAAGTGACCTAGCCTGGTATCTCAACGACTAGACAAAAATGGCTCTATGTACTTGATACGTATATACAAATCATGCTGTCAGGCATAAATTGTCCTTGGGCAGACTAGGTACTAGTGAGAAGCTAACTATACATAGGTAGTCCTTGACTTACAACCATATTTTTTTTCCCCGAACCCCATCACTCTGCTAAACAAATAATTCCCTCAACACTGTCAAACTAGTAATACTAAATCTGCATTACTATTAATCTTCTCATCATTCCTATCATCCATCTCCTCCCACTTAAGACTGTAACCTTGTTGCTGGTATCCTTAAGATTTATATTGACTGTATCCCTATGACTATCATTAACTGTTGTACCTTATGATTCTTGATGAATGTATCTTTTCTTTTATGTACACAACAGCGTATGCACCAAGACAAATTCCTAGTGTATCCAATCACACTTGGCCAATAAAGAATTCTATTCTATTCTATTCTATTCTATTCTATTCTATTCTATTCTATTCTATTCTATTCTATTCTATTCTATTCTATTCTATTCTATTCTAATTCTTTTTCATGCAATAAAGTTTCTTCCCCTTTGTGTTCATCCTGGACTGTCTCAAAAGGTGCTTTTTCAAGAGGCAACTTCCTTCTTTTTCTTGACATTTTGCTTCTCATCCAAGAAGCTTCTTCAGCTCTGACTGGATGGTGGAGAATGGAAAGATTTATACTCCTTGCAGACAGCTGGTCCCTCCTCTTGGTTCAATTTTGATGTAGATGGCCTCTTTGACCTCTCTTTCAAACCAGCAGTCCTCCCTGTCCAAAATGTGGACTTCCGTTGTCTTCAAAAGAGTGGCCTTAGTCTTTAAAACGCAAATGGTACTGCTGAATCTTGTCCTGATAGGTTTTGTTCTCCTATGTTGTGCCATGCGTTTATGATGTGGTTGCTTTGTTTCCCCAATGTACAGATCTGCACATGGCTCACTGCTTTGTACTGCATATACTACATTGCTCAGTTTGTGTCTGGGTGTTTTATCCTTGAGGTGGACAAGCTTCTGCCTTAGCGTAGTTGGGTTTGAAGTGTGCATATATGTTGTGTTTGCTGAAGATCCTCTTGAGCTTTTCTGATATTCCTGCAACATGTGGAATGACAATGTTGCTTCATTTATTGTTCTCTGTTATGGAGGGGCTCCTGTTGGGTCTTTTTTGAGATTTGATGAAGGCCCACTTGGGATAGCCACATGTTCTTAGGGCTTCCTTGATGTGTTTTAGCTCTTTTTCTTTCCTATCATTGCTGGTAGGCAGGCCTTCAGCTCTGATAATGGTGTAGAGTTCTGATAATTCCCATTTTGTGCTCCAGTGGGTATGAGAATGAAAAAGTAAATATTGATCTGTGTGTGGATTTTTTGTAAACTTCAATGTTAAAACTTCTGTCTTCCTTGATGTGTACTGCACAATCCAGGAAGGCTAGATTATTTTCCTTAACATCTTCCTGAGTGAATTTGATCTATCTGTCGACAGAGTTAAGTTTGGTGAACGGTTCCAATTCCTGTGTTTTGATTTTGACCCAAGTATCGCCCACATACCTATATCAGTAAGTGGGTGGAACTCCTGTGAAGGAATTTAGGGCTTTGGTTTCTACCTCTTCCATATGGAGATTGGCCACAATAGAGGACACAGGTGAACCAATGGCGCAGCCATGTTTTTTTCTGTAGAAACCTTCACTGTATTTAAAATAGGTAGTGGTAAGGCACAGGTCCAGCATGGCACATATGTGGTCTGGGGTGAGGTTGGTTCTGTCACCTAAAGTGCTGCCTTGCAGGAATTGTTTCTTTACTACCATGACAGCTTCAGTTGTTGAATTGCAGCTGAAGAGGAAAGTTACATCATAGGAAACTATGATCTCATCTGGGTCCAATTTTAGTTTCCAAGCCTTGCTAATTAAGTTCTGTGAGTTGTTGATGTGATGGGTAGTATTCACAACTAGAGGAGTTAATAAGATGGTTAGATGTTTTGCAATGTTGTAGGCGACAGAATTGATGCTGCTGACAATTGGTCTAAGTGGAGTTTTGGGGAGTCCATATGGCTTGCCCAAGGTAGACACTAGTATTGTGGCTTGTTGATGGCCTTATCCTTCAGGAGTTGTTGCAAGAAATCAATGACCTTTTTCTTGCAACTATTGTGGGATCTCTTCAGGTCCCATATGTGGCAGTGTCCTTCAGAAAACTGTTGGCCTTGTCGTCATCTGTGTTCAGGATGACTATGCATCTTCCTTTATCAGGTGGCACTGATATAGGAAGATGCACATCACCTACAAAATTGCAAAACATCTAACCACCGTATTAGTTCCTCTGGTTGGCAACACCACCCATCACATCAACAATTCACAGGTTTCGTCAGCAAGATTTGGAAACTAAAACTGGATCCGGATGAGACCATGGTTTTCTATGATACATCAGATACATCAAATTCACATGGGAAGATGTTAAGGAAAATAATCTAGCCTTCCTGGATTGTGCAGTACACATCAAGGAAGACAGAAGTCTTAACACTGAAGTTTACAGAAAACCCACACACAGAGATCAATATTTACTTTTTCATTCTCACTCTCACTGGAGCACAAAATGGGAATTATCAGAACCCTGCACCATTATCAGAGCTGAAGGCCTGCCTACCAGCAAAGATAGGAAAGAAAAAGAGCTAAAACACATCAAGGAAGCCCTAAGAACATGTGGCTATCCCAAGTGGGCCTTCATCAAATCTCAAAAAAAACCCAACAGGAGCCCCTCCATAACAGACAGAGAACAATAAACGAAGCAACATTGTCATTCCACATGTTGCAGGAATATCAGAAAAGCTCAAGAGGATCTTCAGCAAACACAACATATATGCACACTTCAAACCCAACTACGCTAAGGCAGAAGCTTGTCCACCTCAAGGATAAAACACCCAGACACAAACTGAGCAATGTAGTATATGCAGTACAAAGCAGTGAGCCATGTGCAGATCTGTATATTGGGGAAACAAAGCAACCACATCATAAACGCATGGCACAACATAGGAGAACAAAACCTATCAGGACAAGATTCAGCAGTACCATTTGCATTTTAAAGACTAAGGCCACTCTTTTGAAGACAACGGAAGTCCACATTTTGGACAGGGAGGACTGCTGGTTTGAAAGAGAGGTCAAAGAGGCCATCTACATCAAAATTGAACCAAGAGGAGGGACCAGCTGTCTGCAAGGAGTATAAATCTTTCCATTCTCCACCATCCAGTCAGAGCTGAAGAAGCTTCTTGGATGAGAAGCAAAATGTCAAGAAAAAGAAGGAAGTTGCCTCTTGAAAAAGCACCTTTTGAGACAGTCCAGGATGAACACAAAGGGGAAGAAACTTTATTGCATGAAAATGTTGCTTTCATATTTTTAAGAGTCAATGAAATTTACTAATAACATCCAAATGCTTTATTAGTTCCACAAGTTCTTTCAATTAAAAAATTGAAATTGCTGCATACAACTATGTTATTATAGATAAAATAGATACGTATACATTTATCGTCTCAAAGATTTATAGTATCACAACAAAATTCTCCAGTCATTTCTTAGGGACTTAATATGAGATCTCACATAAATGTTGCCAGACTGGACAAAAATTAACCCACCTTTGAGTTCTATTTTTCTTAAAGCAATATATAAATCAACAAAAATAGTAAAACAGGTATTATAGAATTACAAATGTTTATCACGGTAAATAATAATGCTCTAGAATGTATGCATATAAAGTAGTTCGTCTCATGCAATTATTGGGATACTCAGGTTTAAATTTATCAGAGTTGCAACCATCACATTCCTGATACAGGCTTGCAGGTAATTACGGGACCGCCTAAAGTAGTACGGATGCACAGGAAAGGACGGTCAAGTAACTAGATATTATTTTTATTGTTGAAAAATGTTTGTAAAATTCTCCATACATAATACAGAAACCATTGAAGGTGCAGATATCCGGCCACCACTTTTACAGAAAACGACTCCCACTTTCTGTGGATCGGGGAAAAAAGCTTGGCGAGAAATTCTGCATGGGAAACAGAATAAAACGCAAGCCAAATGAGCGCCTATCCACTGAGCGGGTGGAGTCACGGCGGGAACGCTTTTCACTCCTAGATTCCCCCCCCCACATTCCATAAGGAAGGCTCCTTGTAGCCGTTCATTGGCCAGACTGCACATCAATCAAACGGCACCGGGCCAACCCTCCCGAAGACAAACGGAGCACCCTCGTTGGTTAAAACGCCTGTTACTTCACACACGGGATCTCAACGTTCTGACGCTGTTAACTGCCTCGAGCTTTCACTCATTCGGCTGTCACTCACTTTTGAGGGCTCCGCCCAAGATGCAAGCCCCGCCCTCTTCCCAACGGTGCCTCACGGCTCAGTCAATCAGGTTTCCAATCACACCGAAACCACACCCTCTTCCGAAGAATCACTGGCTCTCGGTAACGCGCTCCCCGCCAAGACTGTTTCCCGTGGTCGCTCACCTGGGGAAAGTAACGGCTCGGTACGAAACCAACTTCCCCCTCCCTGGTTTGTACCCCCTCACGGCCACCGCTTCTGCGCAACGCCCGCCAAAACAGCTTTCTAATGCGCACGCGCTAGCCCCTCCGCCCCCTTCCCAGCTTCACCGCGCTGGCGTGAGGCGCGCGCACCTCCTTACTATCTTCCTCAACCGTTTCCTCGGCGGATATATTTCAAAACGCATGCGCATATGTACCAATACGCCTCACCGTGTACGCCTGCCTGGACGCAAGTTTTATACATAAAACGATCTTTTTTTCCCCTTCTACCCTGGCATGTACCTTCACCACCACAGGGATGAATATAGTTCTAACCACCAACCTAAACCCGTGTAGAACACGAACTTAATTCCCGCCTCTATGATAATGAATGAAGAGAAGATAGACCAATCTCTATAAAGATGGCCGGTCGTAAAAGCCAATCAGAACGACTTACTTTCCGAATGCTCCAATGAGAAGGAAACAATGTGAAATAGAAGGGTGTTGCCTTGCAGCTGCAGTTCTAGGAGTACAGGGCGGGAAAATTCACCAAGTCAAAGGAGTGACAGAAATTCAACCAATAGAAAGAAAAAGGAGGTGGGACAATGAAGAGGAAACGGGCATAACTTTGCGTATTTGTCCACTAAGGAGCAGACTATTTGCCTGTTGACCAATAGGCATCGACAAAAGCTACACAGCCATCCAATGACAGTGGGCAGGGGTGGGTGTTGATAGTGAGGCGACGACGCAAGGGTGAGTCTGCCCCTTTCGGTATCGGGTGCAGAGTGAGGTAGCGTCGTCCGTGAAGAAGGCCGGCCTTACCCTTTTGCTACCGCCAAGATGTCCAAATCTGAGGTAAGAGCCTATGACGGGCATCTTTATTTTGTTTTTACGACTCTATACCAGTGGCTTGTTTTTGTGGAATTATGTTTCCTTTGCCTTTAGGGATCGTCTGATTATGGGTGCGATCTGTCGCCTAACGCAGTAAGTGTTACAAATACCGTTTCTCTCCTCATTCCCGCTACTCAAATGCATTATTTTCCTTTTGCGCTAGTCTTTTTCCGCCGCTTGCCCGCGTTTGGCTTTTTCTGAATCTTCTTTGTAGTAGGCCTTTCTTTTTCTCCGGTTGGGCCTACTTCCCCCCCTTCCCCCACGGTGACTTCAAAACTGCGCATGCGCGTTGTGTTGCTAGCTTAGGCGCCATCTTTTCCAGTGCGTGGCGTTCGTTGCTGCCATCTCCTGCTCTCGTCATGGCTGCGCTTGCGCCGTGCGGCAGGCCGGAGCAGTTCGGAGTTTGCGCGTGGGGGGGGATGGGAAGGCCACGTGCTCCCTTGCTTTGTCTCTGGTAGCTGGTATCTCGGCCTTTTAATTTCACGTTTCTCTGCTCCAACTTCTCTGCAAATGGGAAGAGACGGCCGGGTGGCTCTTCTTCCTTTTCCTTCGGGTGATTTTTTTTTATGTGGGGGTGAGAAGAGAATGCAGGCCCATTCTGAACCAAGACTTGTGCCCAAGGAAGCTCTAGTTAAGAGTTTTAAAATTGAAAACACTTACATTGGCAAATAGGTGGCTGAGAAAGCGTGTTGCATCAGCCATTGTATGTGTTTTATTATAAATTTTGAGGTTGCTTATACAATGTTGGAAATTGGAACGTAATCTCACCTTTCCCCCTTAAATGGTACGTTTACTCCTTCGTATCAGAGCAACTACTTTGCTGGAAACACTAAAATACACCTTATTTGGGAAAACGGGAGTAAAGTTATTAAGACGGTACTGATACTGTTTTGGTAGGCCTAATTGCATTCCTGTATGCCTTAAAAGGACGATCTGTTGTATTTCTCCTTTTGGGGGCATATCAGAACAGTGGCTTTTGTTCCTAAAATATAATTCCTTATAGTCTGTAACAATACAAAAGCAGCCAACAATGTACAGTAAATGCTTTAGACACCTTAATTGCATTAGAGGTGCATGCTAATGTTAATGTTCTACTTATTGTCTTGGGATTCTTTGTACATTAACAAGCAAAGCAGTTAATTGATGTAGAGTGAAAGTTTGCATTTTATGACACCACAGAATGGCTCAAAGAAAAAAATAAGGCTACATTTTCTGAGTGATCTCTAAATTACAGGTAGTTTTTGATTTACAACCATTTTTGTAGTGACAGTTTGAAGTTATAAGCCCACTGAAAAGGGTGGCTTATAACTGGGTTTCCATACTTAAAATCATTGCAGCATTCCCATATGATAATCAAAATTTGGAAGTGTGGTTGTGTGTATTTATGAAGATTGTCCTGAGGTCATATGACTGCCTTTTGTGACCTGACAAGCAAAGTGGGCGGAAGCCGGATTCACTTAATCATATGCAACTGCAACTTAACTGCAATGATTTACTTAATTGTGGCAAGAAAGGTTGTAAAATGCGGAAAATTCACTTAATTGTCTTGCTTAGCTTCACAAATTTCATCATAGGTCAAGGACTATTTGTACTTAGGTTTTGCAGTTGTTAGATAAAAACCTAATTGGAAAAAAGTCACAACACCAAGTCAGAAATGGTTTTTCAGGTTTTATGAGCTTGCTTCTGGTACTCACAACAGCTATATTGCTTGTGCATGTGCTAAAAGCACTTCCTATTTCTTAAATAGCTAATTACTATACTTTTTATCTGGCTCTGGCTGATGGACCTGGTATTATACGCTGAATAAATCATGCTTATTTTCATTACCACCACCATTATACGCTGTGATCATATCCTTCCTAGTGTTGCCTACTTTTCTGTTTCAGTCCCCCAAGGAACCTGAACAGCTGCGAAAACTCTTTATTGGTGGCCTGAGTTTTGAGACAACAGATGAGAGCCTTCGCAATCATTTTGAGCAATGGGGCACACTTACAGATTGTGTGGTAAGTATATGTCAGCTTGTGTCAAGATGGGCAGCAAACAAAATTAATAAATATGTGTACTTTGCTTGAATTAAGATATAAAGTATAGAATAGTCAGGACAAAAATCTCCCAATTACTAGATTAAGTACTAATATTGCCTTTAGTATATCACTACCCTATTTCTAAGAAAACAAGACAATTCAGTTTTTCTAAATTAATATTGCTTGCAATTGTGTATTTTAGAGCAAAAATGTATATTGTTTCCTCTTAGGTAATGAGAGACCCAAATACTAAGCGCTCCAGGGGGTTTGGATTTGTCACTTACTCAACAGTGGAGGAGGTTGATGCTGCCATGAATGCCAGACCACACAAGGTTGATGGCAGAGTTGTTGAACCAAAGAGAGCAGTATCTAGAGAGGTAAGAAAAACTACTGTTGGATGCATAGTCAACAGGTTCAAAGTCTTGGCAAAAATACTGGAAGCCCAAAATATTACAGTCATGTATCCTACACAGAACATTGATAACATAGTTGGCTTAATAGTTACTGCTGCATTAGACATCTTATTTTAAATTTATTTGTAAATTTTATTAGCTTTTTAAATTATTTTGTTTTTATGATTCTTGCTATGAGCTGTGTGCAAAGTTAGAGCTTTTAAGACAGATGTACATATAAGTTTTCTTAAATAAGTTCTCCTTTTTAAAAAATCATGCATGAATTGCAATTGGAACAAAACACAAAAGTTTTAATTGCTCCTCCTCCCTTCCAATATACTAATATGTTGGCTGAGATTGAAATAATTGTTTTTTGCGCTGCCAGGTTGGAGAAATTTAAGGGTTATAGTATGTTAAAATTTGAAATTGATAGGCTTGAAATTTTAAACACCCATGTCTTTAAGATACATCATGTGTTCTCTGGCAATATGGATAATCAAGCAGCCACAAATACTAAGAGTTTAAAATGTGTTTGTCCTGTCTCATAGGATTCCCAGAGACCTGGAGCACATTTGACAGTGAAGAAAATCTTTGTTGGGGGGATTAAGGAAGATACAGAGGAGCACCATTTGAGGGAGTACTTTGAACTGTATGGCAAAATTGAAGTTATAGAAATAATGACTGATCGAGGCAGTGGCAAAAAGAGAGGGTTTGCCTTTGTTACTTTTGATGATCATGACTCTGTGGACAAGATTGTCAGTAAGTATCTTATTTCATCCTTCCAGCTATGCCCTAACTTTTTCTGTTTTCTCTATATATAGCTTCTACGGAGATTTTGATACTATTTTATCTTTTCATGTCTAGTTCAGAAATACCATACTGTAAATGGACATAATTGTGAAGTCCGAAAGGCTTTGTCAAAACAAGAAATGGCCAGTGCTTCTTCCAGTCAGCGAGGTAAGTGTGCAGTATTTGAACAGATATAACTGTAGTGACATTTTCTAGGAATGCTACATGTTGTTGTTGTTGTTCATAGGTCGCAGTAGCTCTGGAAGTTTTGGCAGTGGGCGTGGAGGTGGATTTGGCGGTGGTGACAGTTTCAACCGTGGTAGCAATTTTGGAGGCCGTGGTAAGTAAGGTTTTTGAAGATTTAAAATTCATTTTAAGATGTTAATCACAGTAAGGACTTAAAGGAATGCATTATTGCATCTTGTTGGGTTTCTTTCTGGAATTAAGCGGTACTTTGGATCTGTGTATCTTTTCTATATACTTCTATTTTTTTATTTTATTTTTTTTACAGAAATGCCAAACTTATGTATGTGAATGACTTTTATCAGAAGTTCACCATAAATCTGAAGTAAGATCAATATGTTAATATTTTATTTTTTCCTCAGGTGGGTTTGGCAGCCGCAGTGGTGGAGGTGGAGGTGGTGGAGGAGGAGGAGGATACGGGGGCAGCGGAGATGGCTATAATGGGTTTGGCAATGATGGTAAGTTCATAGAGTTTTTGAAAGTTGCTGTTTTTCATAAGCTATCATATTGCTACATGTTGATTTATTTTTAGGGTATATATCTTTATCACATACATAAAATTTAAAAATTGTTAAAATAGTCTTCATTTTAGAGATTTGTAAAATATACGATTGAGTATCTTACATGCCTTGTAGGTTATGGAGGCAGTGGCCCTGGATATTCTGGAGGAAGCCGGGGTTATGGTGGCAGTGGAAGCTATGATGGATACAACAACGGCGGGGGCGGCTTTGGTGGTGGCAGTGGTGGGGGTAAGTGTCAATTTGATTTTGAGCACTAAGATTGTTATTTTATCTAGTACAACTTGATTTGCAGAGGCTGCATAAAAATGGCCTGGGTTCTTCAGGAGTAACAGACTGGTTCCCCATAGCCACCTAAAAAAAAGTTTTTTTTAAGCAGTAAGACCCTCTGTTGTGCAATTTACAGAGGCTCCAGAGAAAGAGCATGGCCCTCTTGCACAACTTCAAGAGGCCATATGAGAACTGAGCTATGGGAGCAATTGCACCATTCCCCAAGGGTTACACTCCTTGAGGAGCAACACAAACTGGCCTTTTTGAGTGGCAGTAATGCTAGGGCTGAAGTTCCGCTGTTCAGGGTGACCTAGATAGGAGGAGAAAATTGTTTCACGTTGGGGGTGGGTGGGTGATGTACCAGCAGAGTCAAGTTAGGAAATTTTTGACATGCCCAACCTAAAAGGTTTGCCTTGAGGTTTAGAGAATTGCAAAAACAAAAACCCAAATATTTGCTGCCATCTAGTTGTATGAATTTTTGCAATCTACTGTATTAGGTTTAGCATGTGCCTTCATTTAAGTATACTTGGTATATTTGGCAAAATACCTAGAAAGATCTGAAGGAATTTCATAGATGAAATATTTGAGGTCTTGTAAATTTGTGGATGATTTTTATTCTGTTTAGGAAGCAACTTTGGAAGTGGAGGAAGCTACAATGATTTTGGCAGTTACAACAACCAGTCTTCGAGTTTTGGGCCCATGAAAGGAGGAAACTTTGGAGGGAGGAGCTCTGGCCCTTATGGTGGAAGTGGTGGTAAGTGTATGATCTAATTGACTAGGAGGAAAATGGATCACATTAATTTCTAGTAGAATTCTTGGATGATTGACAAGAAAAACTGAGGTCAGCCCTCGCAGTTTCCTCATTCTTTCTCATAGACAGTAGTCTATTTTTTCTAAAGAGCTTTTTTTTTTTACCCATTCCCATTTAAGATAACTTACTTATTCTTTTTAGGTGGCTATGGGGGCTCTGGTAGTAGCAGTAGCTATGGTGGTGGAAGGCGGTTTTAATTCCTAGGTAAGACTTCCTCCATTTGCGCATGGATAGATATGGAGCACTAAATGAATTGTAATAGTAACTCATAATACGGCTGAGCAAGTTATTGTAGTTTAAGCATATTTGGAATAAAATGCAGATGTTAAAGCTAATAAATGGATTGGCAATCGGGGGAACAACTTGATATTGGATTATAGCCTTGAGTCTCAATATGTTTAGATTAACAACTTTATTCCATGTTATTCAACAGGAAACAAAGCTTAGCAGGAGAGGAGAGCCAGAGAAGTGACAGGGAAGCTACAGGTTACCACAGTTGTGAACTCAGCCAAACAGAGTTGTGGCAGGGTAGAACTGCCTCATGAAGACATGTGTTAGACAAGCGCTTGTTTGCAAACATCAGGACTGTATTTGTGACTAACTGTATAACAGGATATTTTAGTTTTTGTGTTCTGTGGAAAGTGCAAAGCATTCCAACCAGGGTTTTTATGTAGATTTTTTTCCACACCCATGCTATTGACTGCAAACTGTAATAGACTGATCATGACGCTGAATAAATGTGTCTTTTTTTTTAAATGTGCTGTGTAAAGTTAGTTTACTATAAGTTAATGTACATTGATTTTCACTACATGGAAAAGATTAGTGAAGAGTCAAATAGCAGAGAATGATTCTCAGAATGCCAAGAAATCTTTATATTCAAAGCCAAATATATTGATTTTGTGTCGTCTTTAACTTCATGAAAAACAAATTTGCAGAAATTTCCTCAATGAAGGACCACTTCCAAAATGAATTCCTTATTTAAATAAGGACATCTTCTTGGTAGCTTGACCATTGTTCTTTCCTGTTTGCTTTTTCAGCTCATGTCTTCCCTTTTTTCTGGTTGAGTTTAAAAAATGCCAGTGACTGAGGCAGGAGATTTTATATGCTGAATTAAAGGCAAATAAAAAAATTGGCCATATCAGCATATAGGCATAGCAGCTCAAGGAGCTTGAAATGGGATATTTGGCTAATAAGTCACAACTAGAGCTTGCTATGCTTACAATATCTCAAGATAGTTATCCAGTTGGACCTAAGTCGCCCCAATACAGTATCAACATTTTATCTGAACTATAGAAATTTCAATTTCTTGGGCTCAACAGCAAGAGAATGTCAGCTGTCAAAAGCTGTGAAATTTCCCATTGATATTGATACCAGGTTGCTTTGACTCCCTTGCAATCTCATTTTTATAATAAAAGGAAACAGATGTTCCACTGAAGAGACTAGCAAAATACATGACTTTTAATCCACTGCTAGCTGAATATATAAATTAATACCTCTCATGTTAACATTTGTTAAAATTGGTAAGAGTCACATTGCTTGTTTGAAGATGGCAGCAAACAAATTCAATAAAAATGGATAAAAGTATCCCAACTAGGGGGGGGAGGGTCACGAGGTTGTGCAGGATAGTTCATATAATTGATACCTGTTAGGCAAAAATCCATTGGTCTAAACTAAAATTCGACAGTGCTCTCTTCTCAAAGGTAGACTAGATTTTGTACTGAGAAGTTCTAGCATGAGAAAAATAGTGTGAATCTTATTACGGCACTCTTAAGTTAATTTTGTGGTATTAAAAGTGCTACTAGTTTGTTACTTGTCCCTAAATTGGTTCATTCCTGTGAGGGAGCCAAAAAGGTTCTCATCTCTGTTAAAGCTCAGTTGCATTTTGAAACCAGAAATTCATTGTTTCCATTTTATGAAATAAATTTCATATATTTCCCCACTTAATGCAACTCTTACCATACAAAATGGGTACACTGGCTCCAATTTCTGGTTCCATTAAACATGGTAGTATGTTTCTGTTCCACCAGATGGAAGTAGAAATGTACTTAAAAATTGGAGGGGTATAGATAATGTCATGGAATTGCATTATACTTCCGTCAATCAATCTTCTGTCCAATCTGAATACACCTGTAGCATTTCTATCTTAGTGTCTTATGAAATAAGACAAATGTGTGCTTAAATATGTTTATGGATGCAATGGTGCTTGTATATGGTGTGTGTACAAGTGTATTTATATATAAAACTTCTGATTGGTGACTGGCTTAATTTAGAATGCAAAATTAATAGTCCTGATGGGTTTTTCCCGTGGCTGAGTTTGCAGTAGCAGGTGGATCCTGACAAGACCTCAGGATTTATGAAATAATACTCGTTTTTGGCATGGTAGCATAACCACAACAAAGGAGAGCACTCCAGGACCCGAAAACTAAGTAGCATTACAAAACCGGGAGGCATGCAGATGTTTGAGCTACTAGGAACGGCTAGCAAGCATAGCTCCGAATGGCTTCCAGATCAGACGCTACTACAGCTGAGAGTAGACACGTGTTTTGAGTCAAGTGGACAGATAAGCCAGGTGCAGGCTTCTGCTGACTAGAAGGGAGTACTCAGTGACCATCGGAAGGAGGCAGACGAGAGTAAGGATCCTTGCTCTTAGGACTAGCAGAAGGAAGGAAAGGTTATATTACTGTACTGGTAGGTAAGAACAGATTTTACTTACGTCCTATACAGTTTTGTTATCCTACTAAACTTTCTCCGAGACTGAGTTTACCTTGTAAATACCAGTCTAGTTATCTTTTAATTCACCCAGTGCTGTAATATGCAAGCAGTAGATGGATAGAACGTTACTAATTAATATTTTACTGTCACAGGCCTGGCAACATCTTTAATGAAATGTACTTTAATAAAAGCATTGCCTTTTCATACCTCTGTGTGGCCTTGTTGACTTAAAACAATTTTAGCATAACAGTGCACTGGCTCTGCTGCTATAAAGGCAGAGGAATTTATGGGGGTTGGGAATGCTTATATAAAGTGTGAATAGGGATTCAATAAAATTGGGTGGTATTTAATTTTTCTCCCTTTTTATAGGAAAAGAGGAACGGTCTGGTGCTAAAATGCCTTTGTTCCTGACAGATGGACTGTCTTTGGATTTCCCTTTTCTTTTTAAAGGTAAAAACAATGCTAAATTGTGGGAATAAGGTTTCCAAAACAAATAAGCTAACATACAGTAAATGAATGTGCTGTAATTTAACTTGAGAGACAGATGATAAGAGTGGTGAACTTTGAATGTTTACAGGTAGAGCCCAAAATTTCTATTGTTAAGTGAGACATTTGTTAAGTGAGTTTCCTCCATTTTATGACCTTTCTTGCCACAGATTAAGTGAATCACTGCAGTTGATAAGTTAGTAACCCAGTTGTTAAGTGAATCTGGCTCCCCCGTTGACTTTGCTTATGAGAACATCGCAAAAGGTGACCACATAACCTTGGAGGACACAGCAACAGTCATAAATATATACCAGTTGCTATGCATCTGACTTCTGATCATGTGATCATGGGGGTGCTGTAAAGGTCATAACTCTGAAAAATGGTCATGTCACATTTTTCAGTGCCGTTGTAACTTTGAACGGTCACTAAACAAACTTGTATGTCAAGGACTACCTGTACTTATTTAACATAGTGGTGAAAGTTAACTATTAGGAAATGGGAATTTTTGTGTCTGAAAGTGTACCCCCCTCCCTACCATAATTTATCTGATCTTAAAATTTATTATTGCTGTTTGTCTTGCAGGACTCCTCAGCTTGATGTACCATAAACCTTTCAAAGAAAGTTATGTTGCTACTAGGTAGCTGTGCGTATAATATATTATTATGAATAGATTTATTTAATAAAACAGTTTTTGATATAAATTTCTTGTCTACCTTTTTGTGACTTGTTAACATCTCTTCCAAAAGAATGTTAGAATGTTTAAGAATGAACAAGCTTCTATGATAGCAAATCAGTATTGGTCTGAGGGACACACTTAACATTTTTTCAGAAAAAAATTCTCTACAGAGTGAAATCATTTGGTCATTTTACTTATACTATAGTATATGTTCTTATAAATTAGCTTTCCTAAAATGATATGCAGCTCATGAAGCCATTTTGCTTCTTGAACCAGTATTAAAAATAGTTAGATTGGCTTTGGGATTTACTGATTAGATAGATTTGTTATAGAAATGGCTAGTTTAAACTATTATGTAAAAGTAAAAAGTTGAGGTTTGATGTTAATGCCTTACACTACTGCACCAAAGGGAGTCGGAAGTCAGTGCCTTTTCTTTCTTTTCCCCCTTCCCCCCGCTCTATTTCGTTCCCTTTTCCCTTCCCCATTTTTGCTATTATTTGCTGCTTTTGTATTTTATTTGTATGCTACATTATAAACTAATAAAAAAAGAAGCATGGCCTTCGTTAAATGGTGTGCTGCACAGAGCTACCTGATGGTGGCCCCAGGAACATGAGAGAGATCATTCTTGTCCTTGGCTTTTTGGCAGGAGATTCTTTTATTGTAGATAGGGTGCTCAACTTCTATTGGGTCAAATGTTATCCAGGCTTTGCATGGCATGCCAAAAGGCATACTCCAAAAATAGGCGCAAGGGGCTATGCTATCTGGAAAACGGGGTTGAGGAATTGGAACAAGTGCCATAATCCTCTATAAGACTTGTACCCATTTGAACTCCCCTTTTCCCCAAATCACAGGTTTCCTTGGCAAAGAAGCCCTACTTTCTTGGCAAAACACAAAGGGATGCTAGATGGCTAACTGGGCCTTTCATACCTGTTGTAAACGCTGGTTTTCTCCACATCTGAAGATTAGCCCTCATTTAGGTGGAAAAACTTCAAAAAGAGTAAACACCCTGAACTGCCTTAATAGTCAAAACTGAGGTCTTTGGCTTGTCACTCAGTTATGTTTCCGACACTAATATTTTCCTAAGCAATTGGCCTGGAGTTTTACAGGTAGTTCTCAACTTAACGACCACAATTGAGCCCAAAATTTAGGTTGCTAAATGAATTTGTTGAGTTTTGCCCATTGTATGACTTTTCTTGCCACAGTTGTTAAGTGAATCTGGTTTCTCCATTGACTTTGCTTGTCAGAAGGTTGCAAAAGGGAATCCCGTGACTCCAGAACACTGCAACCGTCATAAATGCGAGTCAGTTGTCAAGCATATGAATGTGAATCATGTGACCATGGGAATTGCTGCAACGATCGTAAGTATGAAAAATGGTCAAAACTCACTTTTTTCAGTGCCTTTGTAACTTTGAATAGTCACTAAGCGAACTGTTGTAAACTGAAGACTACCTGTATTGCATAGGGAATGTATAACTTTCCAAACAAGCCAGGATTCTGGTGCAACAGTTGAGCTGGTAAATCAAATCTATGCATTTGTATCATATTTACATTTTATACAGACATCTTTTCCAGTAGTCAAGATGGACCAGAACCATGCAAAACAGTGTTTTCTAATTCCGGTTAAGTGCTGTTACCAAAGCATGCCACAGCTAGCCCAGGTGTTGGCAATCCTTGGTTCCAGAGCCGCATGCAGCTCTTTCACCCCTCTGCTCCGGCTCCGTGTTGGGTGATCCCACCACTGGCTGGCCCACCCCCTTGCCCTCCCCTCCCAGTCATTCCTCACCTGGCCTAAGAAGGTAAGGGTGATGGCGGGGGATGGAGACTCGCTCCATATGCCAGAGAGGGAGTGAAGTGCCCCTGTACTTGCTGAGTCTCACGGGCACTTCTTCCGGTGGCTCGCTCTCGCCTCCCAGATGTCAGTTGCTGTGATGCCCTGCCTCCCAGTTGATCGTCAACACTCTGCTCGTCTGTCATTCTTGGTGGGCTCCGCAGCAGCAGCACCAGAGCGACATGCACAGGTTCAAGATGTGTGTGTTTCTCCCAACCTCCTCCTGTGGTCGGGGAGGCAACAGGCCTGGGGCTGCCAACCACAGGGGTTGCACCTTGGATGGAAGGGGGAGACTCCGTAGTTGCCAGTGCGCTCCTTGGTTACCCTGCACCTGATATCTGCTTTGGAGATGCTGTGGCTCCTGTCATTCCATTCACGCATTGGCTCACCCTGGAGACGATTACTGGACTAGCGTAACGATCTGTCTCTATCTGTGCCTGGCCCACCGGACCTTGCCAGCCACACAAGAATTGTTCATGTGCCTGATTTGTCCCATATAAGTGTCTTTGCACCTGCATGGGCAAGTTATATTATTCTGCCTGCGCACACACATACACACACAATGGGGAAGAGCTGTCATACCCAAACACCTATTGTAGCAACCTACTCTTGCATATGGATGCAGAGTGGCTGAGAAGGGGGCTGCTTTACAAACATACTCCTCGGAGGGTTTTTTTCGGGTTCTTCGAGCAGATCTTTCACATCTTTTCTATCCCAATGTCAGATTCCCACCAGTTCAAGGGTTCCTTCCCTCCTCCAGGGAGGAGGAGGGTGGAGACACAGAAGAAAGAGACATACAGAGACAGGAGACAGAAAGAAGAGGAGACAGAAAGAGAGAGACCTGTTTCCCACAGAAAAGAACAGGAGACACAACCTGGGTAGGCGTGGCGGGGTGTGTATCATGTGGCTGGGAGGGAGTGATGAGTGGCCAAGCCCACCTAGGTTTTGTGGCTCTTGGTGTTTTCTGTGGGAAACTGGTCCAAATGGCTCGCCTAGCCAAAACGACAATATGTGCACCTGGAGTTTGAAATAATCTTGCAGAAGTTCAATATTTGGTATATAATTACGTGGATTTACCTACAGAGGAGATCTTGTATGATGGCAATCTTAAAATCGTTTCTTTTAAACTGGAGAGTCCATCCCGTCAAACGAGGTAAACAGATTTCAAAACCTTGAGGATATTCTTATCCCATTTAACAGGAGACACGATTGATAAAAGCAATATTGTAGCTTCATCTTCCTCGGTGACTTGAAATCTTAAATCCACTAAAATCTAAAAACAATTAACAGAGAAACTAAAGCCCATTTGCAGACCTGCAGCAGAGGATGTAGCAAGGCAGGCTTATTTCTTCATTGCTATTGCTTTATGCTATTGACATGAGACCAGCAAATTTTCTCCCAAATTTCCTTTGACATTTTAAAATCGCTTTTTTTTCATGTTGTGTTCTAGGATCACCATCTCACAAAAGGACAGATCTTTTCATCAGATGACACTATTTCAATCATGGAGTATTAGAGGCATTTTAACACTCTGGAATTTTGGGACTGTAATTAATTTGGGCATTTTATGTCAGTTACCTTTTGTAACTATTTACTCTAGTAATTTTTCTACAGAACATAACCTACGTTCCCTCTGCAGCTAAAAGGGAAGTATCTTGCTTTGTCTTTCCAATATCAACTTTTCTCAACTTATTTTTCTCTTTTCTTAGTATTTAATATATTTGCCAAGGTAGTCTTCCCTTGGCTTGTAGCTGTCATCCCATCCTTTCCATAGCAACTTTGTAAATCAAAGGATTGGTTTGGCTCTGAGAGGGAAAGGGGCACTTAGGAACACCTTGAGGTATTTTTTGGTCAATTTCATTAACGGAAATAAAACACTTTGTAAATGCATACTCCTAGATAACTAGGATCCATCAAATGCCTTTTAACCACTACAGATAGTTTTTGACCTACCATTTGTTTAGTAACCAAAGTTATAATAGCAATGAAAAAAGTGACATGACTGGTCCTTGCATGTACAACCATTATGGCATTCTCAGCCAAATGACCAAAGTTCAGGCATTTGGCAGTGCCATGTATTTATGGGTGCAGTGTCCTGGGGTCATGCAATCACCATTTGCTACTTTTGCTGGCTTTCAACGAGCAAAGTCAATGGGAGAGCCTGGATTCACTTTTAAAGACTGCATGATTCACTTAATTGCAGTGATTTGCTTAAAAACTGGCAAAAGTCAAAAACACATAACTCATTTATCAACCTTGCATCTACAGTAGAGGATTCCATAATGGATTGTGTACACAACATTCTGAAACATTGTTTTGGCATCCATGTTTATAAAACAATACGAATTGAAAATTGGATTTTGTGGGATGAACATTAGGACAACTTCTGCTTGCAAGTTAATAATGCCAAAATCATGTACTGAAGCAACTTTGAGGAAGAAAAACATATTAGTCTATGATAGCCAAAACTCAGGAGTCTGATAGCACTTTTTCAGGCTAACATTTAAAAAGGCACAAAAAAGCTTGTGCCTTTTTTTATAAAAGATGCTACTAGACATCTGATTTAAGGCAATTTGCTAATCTTAAAAGAGTGTTTCAGCTTTTCAAAGATTGAACTATGCTAACTGCTGAGATATGATGAGGTCCTAGAACAGATTTCTTCAATCTTGGCAGCTTTAAGACTTGTGGACTTCAATAGCTATTCAAGCATAGCTGGCTGGAGAATTCTGGGAGTTGAAGTCCACAAGTATTAAAGCTGCTAAGTTTGAAGAACTCTGTCCTAGAACAACACAGGTTCTTTCTACCTTTTCTGTAGCCTTTAAAAACAAATCTTTTAAACTCTTCGCCTCCATTTTTTTTTATGGCTGGTATACAGTGGTAATGACCCTAGCAAGTGCTTTGAAAAGGAATAGCATAGATTTAAAAATGGATGACAAAAAAATCAAAAGAAAATGGGAAACCCATTTAGAGCTTATAATTTTGAATACAAGCAACATTCATTTCTTACACCTCCCGGCAATATAGTCTTAACTAGGATGTAGCAGAATTCATTTTTTATTTTTTAATTCAACATTCTGGAAATGTGTAGAAAGGGATGTACAACTAATTTACAATAGGCTTCTTCATATTTGCTCTGGACAGTGGAAATTGTAGTCCAATACGTTGGGAACATTTTAAAGCCGTAAAATGAGCAAGTGCCTTATATATTGTATGCAAGGTAATTTGGCTTGAAGTACCGAAGTAAGCAAAGGGTTGAGGATTACAAATAGTCCTTACAAATACTGTTGGGATTATAATTCATCCGTCACAACTGGCCACATCAGTGAAGTCTGATGGGACTGTTAAATTTTAGAAGGATGGATGTTTGGATAAGGAATAAATTCTAGGTACCGTTTTCATCAAACCCTGTTTTTCTCCTAATGAAATGAAAAATATTTCTGGGTGATTTGAATGGTGTTCAGTTCAGCTGTACGGTATGGAATCTGAACTCTTAACATTTGAGTGGTTCCGAGCCCCTAGAGAGATGCTTTTGTGGGGGTCAACTGGCTGCATTCCATCCCCCCAGTTTCTACCTCAACTTGTTCAGTTCAGCCATTGGCACTTTCTGGCTGCTTGTTGCGTGGAACAAGGAAGACACCACCATCGATAGTGAGCTGCAGCACATATTCATCAGGGGAATAGGCATTGCCAGCTTCATCCCGTAACATGCAAAAGACTTGGTGGTAGAGGGCTCCCAGCTTCTGCTTCGTCAGTGTCAGACTCCTGTTAAACTCTCCGCGGTCCTGTAACAAGCGCTGTCGCTCACGACTTAGTTCATCCAGCTCCTGCTCCAGGTGCACCAATGTCTCCAGTTTGCGCTTGCGACAATTTTGAGCTGCCACTTTATTCTTACCGCGGCGGCGGATGTCCCGGATTAGTGCCAGCTGAGGCTCATTCAGCGGGAAACGTGACAGCAGCTCATTGAAGTCATCCACTGGCAGGTTGATGATCTTTTCCACAGGGAAGGGGATTTTCATGGCGAGAGCCCGACGTTCATCCCTGTTGCCCACTAACTCTCCCCGTGGGCTCTGCCCTTTTTCCAAAGAATGCTCTGGGTGATGCTCAGGGAAGGGCATCTCTGGGACAGGAGCCAATGGAGGGTATGCTGGAACGTGGTCCAAGGGATACAAAGATGGATATTCTGCCCGCTCCAGTCCCTCAGCTTCCAGGGACTCTGCATCACTGTAATTAAGGGATAATCCAGAGTCTGATTCCAGATCTTCTTGGAGCTTGCAAGGCCCCTGTGGTCCATAGCCATTCGTTAGCTCCCTCCCCAACATCATCCCTGGCATCCCTTTATATCCGCCCAGCATAGCAGATCCTGGAGGCTCCAGGGAGGAAGAGATCAGCATGCCGGTGTAACTGTAAAGTGTACAAGAAGCAGGCAGATTTTCTGGGTAGGAATGGTCATAGGCTGCAGTAGTAGGGTGATTGTAATTGGAAACAGAACCCTCGCCCATCCCTGCACATGGCCCGTAGCTAGGGGATGGTACCATCTGTTGGGAATGACCACATAAAGCTGGATCGTAGCAACTCTCGGCTGGCATATCAAGACCCTGCAGGAAGGGGGGAAAAAAGTTGAGACAGTTCCTCGCTTCCTTCCCCCTCACCCCTCAAGCAAAGAATGCGGAAAATGCACAAGTGAGGCTGATAGGATTGCAGTCAAACTCAAGGAATTTTTGATGGCTTGCCCAGGTTCTTTTCTGACATTCAATCTTATATATGCTAGTCCAGTCTCAACATTCTTTTTTTTTCCCCACTCTCACTAAATTGCAAATGTTCCCAATACCTTTTTCCAACAGAAATATTTAAAAACTTTCAGGTTTTTCTAGAAATTTGCCTTGTCTGTTTAGCTCTTGACTTAACTATATCATTGTAACATAAATGTAGCTACCCAAACCTAGCATCTATTTCTTCCTATGTCTATGTAAGAACCTATGTAATGTTCTTATTGCTGAAAGGTGGTGGTGGTGGGGGTGCAAAGAAAAGGGACACTCAAAAGGACTGTGCAGGTGCTGAGCCCCTTAAGATGGGTTGATAACATTCCCCCCAAGAACAAAAGAATGATTCATCCCATCGGACAGATCCCCTATTGTACATGGTTTCCCCCACCTCACTTCTCCCCAGGGTTTGCTATTGAATGGGAGCAGTGTTGGGAGATTCAAGATTTAAAAGGCAGATGGATGTAATGGATACCTGCCACCCTGCAACTTAGATTCAGTACACTCCTCTGTAGAGGGACTAACCCCCACAAATGCATATTTTGTAGCTGTGGGATGGGCTCCACCCATTCCATGTACAAAGTACTTCAACAGTATACTGATCAGCCAACCTGGCAGCAACTATCGTGAACTAAACAGATATGTTTTCAGTTCTTTGAGTTGTCTCACGAAATAATTACTGTAAACATATCTTGGGACTGTAACTGAATAGTGAAGCACCATACTGGAAATATTCAGAGGCTCCGTCATTAGCTCTCTGCTATGAAAAAGAAATATGGAAGGTGGTTGTTATGGAAAAATTGAAGCATAAAGGATGAGAAATGTTGGTTTCTATAGTAGAAAAGTTACCTTTGATTTAATTTGGAAAACACTTATCCTTTTTGCAAAACATCACAGGTCAAATCCACCAACAATTGTTTGCCCTAGTATATACAAGGCAGCCAGTTTGTTTGTGCTTAAGAAACCTTAGAGACCAAGAGACTATGAGTTCTAATCCTGCCTTAGGCACAAAACAGCTGGGTGACCTTGGACCTACCACTCACTCACTCTCTGCCCTGGGAAGGAGGCAGTGGCAAACCACTTCTGAAAAACGTTAGCAAAAAAGCTGCAGGCAAACTCCAAGAATAGGACATGAACGAAATGAAGAAAATGAACAGGATATACAAAAGTTGCAGGGTGGATAAAAATCAATGATTTTTTTAAAAAAATCAAAAAAATCAGATTTTTTTTATTTAAATCGGATTTTTTTTATTTTTATCGAATTTATTTTAATAAAAAAACTTTTGGGGTAAAAATCTATCGTAAGATAGTTTTCTATTTAAGATACATAAATAATTTAGTTTATTCAGCATGAAATGGAGCTTAGTTATGTAGCATGAGGCTGTATATTCTGCAACACTGGGACTATCGGTGAGTCAACAGTGGGTCAAAGGAGTAGCAGAGATGACAGTTGCTCTCTAAAAATTATGATTTAAATCGAGTTGATTTAAATCAAGCCTTTTTACTAGTGATTTAAATTGTGATTTAAATCAAATCCACCCTGTTCCCCTGTGATATTTTTACATTTTAATTGCTGTTTTTATTCTAGGTTCGTGATGGCGAACCTATGGCACGCGTGCCACAGGTGGCATGCGGAGCCATATTGGTGGGCACGTGAGTTCAGCTCCGGCACACATGCGCACACTGGCCAGCTGATTTTCAGGCCTTCTGGGCCCACTGGAAGTTGGCATACAAGCCATTTCTGGCCTCCAGAGGGTCTCCAGGGGAGTGGGGAAGGCTATTTTCACCCTCCCCAGGCTCCTAGAAAGGCTCTGGAGCTTGGGGAGGGCGAAAAATGGGCCTACCGGGCCCACCATGCCATCACATGCCAAAAGCAAGGGAAGCGCAGGGGGGGTCACGCACACATGTGCGGGGGTGGGGTGCATAGAATTATGGGTGTGAGCACACACATGCGCGACCCCCCCGCGCTTCTCCCGCTTTTGGCACACAATGGCATAAAGGTTAGCCATCATTGTTCTAGGTTGTTTTTAATATCTTAAATACTATTTTTAATAATGTTTTATTATCTGTTGCCAAGTCATACATTCTTTACCCTGTAACTGTGATTTGCTTTATTTTCTAAGTAAAATAAAGATTTTAAAAAAGACAGTACAATATTCTGCATATTACATTCCACACTCAAAGCTTGAAAACGTGGCTATTCCCTCAGGGCTGGGAATCAGAATGTGTTAAGGGCCCTGTTTCTTGGCTGTAGTGTTAATTGAGTACTTATTTGGCTGCTACTGATATTTATTTTCTGGATGTTTTTACTCTCTTGTTTTTAATTGTTTTATAAATTTAGAATTGTAAACCGCCCAGAGTCACTTGGTTAAGTTAAATTGAAGGAAGGAATGAAGGAATATCAACCTGGAAATGAAGGCCATTGACTTAAGTTATTCCCAAGAAAATGTGGGGAAGATAGTTTAAAACCATCTGGAGGTTTCCTTAATGCTGTCATCATATCTACAAAATGTATACTGCACCTGCCCTGGATGAAACAAAAGGACTCATCTGTAAGTTGAAAATATAAATCTTACACTGAAAAGTAGAATAGCTGCCTAATTTTGCTGAACGTTAAATCCCTGCACCTTTTAGGAAACTTGCTGTACCTATTGGTGAAAGGTGGTTGGGAGTTCAATCATTAACAAAAAGATGAAATTCTAGATTGAGACTGGTCTAAATAATTTGAACTATTAGTGAACTTTGATGAAGAGAAATACTAGCATGTTAAGGCTGTAAAAGTTTGCAAAAGTACCAAATGAAATATACCATTTCTTCTAAAGGAAAAAAAAAATGGCGTGAGCAGGAAAACCGAAGCAAGCAATATACAGCTACAGTATTGAGTTCAGGGTTTTAAGACTAGAGAAGTCGTTTTTCTAATAAAGGTGTGTTCAATCAGAAAACCAAGTGCTTTCCAGTTGGTAAATCACTCTTTTTATGTTGCCCATTGCAGAATCTCTGTATGACAGATTTTGCTCTGGGTTTTTCTCCCCTATTCTTTAACTTTACACAGCTGGCTGCCAGGGAAAAGGGAGAGAATTCTTGCCAAAGATCTGAATGAATCACTTTATACCAGGCCAAGGGTTGTAAATTGATACCGGGTGGAGAAGGCAAGGGAAGAAGAAGAAATAAAGATCCACTTCCTGCAAGAGACACTGTTTGTCTGTTTTGTTTATTATTACATTTGTGGGCTGTCCAAATCCCACCACAACTATTAAACTGGGTTCAGACCAGAGGTGGGTTTCAGCAGGTTCTGACCAGTTCTGGCGAACCGGTAGCGGAAATTTTGAGTAGCTTGGAGAACTGGTAGTAAAAATTCTGACTGGCCCCGCCCCCATCTATTCTCTGCCTCCCAGGTCCCAGTTGATCAGGAGAAAATGGGGATTTTGCAGTAACCTTCCCTTGGATTGGGGAGAGAATGGAGATTTTAGAGTATCCTTCCCCTCCCATGCCCACCAAGCCACACCCACAGAACCAGTAGTAAAAAAATTTGAAACCCACCACTTGTTCAGACATCATATTAGCCATCGTGTTTTTGCCACTTGACTAAGGACAAAACATGGACCAAGCCACTTGATAGCCAGTTAGTGACAAGCGAAATCAATAGAGAAACCAGCAGTAAAATTGCAAGTCACATGATGTCTTGCTTAACGGAGATGGGAGTTGCAGGTCCCAGTTTTGGTTGTTAAACAAGGACTATCTGTTATGAACAAATCTTCTTCACTTTGCTCCTTCCTTCCACATTGCCTTGCTCTATGCAGCAAGCTCTTATTTTAGCTGCTATGTTGACTTTTGTCAATATGTCTAACCTATCTCCCTCAAAGCTGTTCAAATAATAACGTATTCTGTCAGTCCCATGCTTACCTGCAATTCTGAGATTGAGAGAATCTCTTGCCAGGTTAGCTCCATTTCCCCCTGTGAGCAAGCTTCCCCCCCTGCCAGGGGGTTGTACAAAGGGAGGAAGGTACTCCGAGTCCATCCCTGCTGGGGTGGACAGGGGGACATCTTATCAGGTCGACTTCTGCCCAGTGTCTGATCCAGCAAGGTGCCTCCAAAATCAGCCGTGGCAGCAAAGTTCTGTTATAGAAAAAAAGGATAAAGAATTAGATTTGACTGTCTTTAATAGTTCAGTCTAGTCAGTTTTCTCTCTTGCTTACATTACATTAAACTGAGTTAAGCCTCAATCTATTAATCAGCTGTTATAAATGCTATTGACTAATTGCAGATTATGGTTAGTCAGGAAATCAATACATACGTTCTAATATCTACTGTCTGTATCTCTCCTTACTATTTGATTATGATTTTTGTCATCTTCCTGAGGCTGTGTAAAGTTAAAAACACAAAATTTACAATACAACAAAGGTGTCAAAGTTGCATCGTCCCGTCGTCGTCACGTGACGTATTGTGACTTTTTTACCCCTTCACTAAACCGGGGGTGGGCATGGCCACCCATGCAATACAAGAACTCAACAATTTTTTTACAACACAATTGTCAAAATGGGTGTGTGAGAAGAAAACAAAACTAACTAGATTGGGTTTTGATTAATTCAGTGATACATTCACCCGCATGCGCACACACACACATGCATTCTTTTTTGTATCATTTTGGTTAGTTATAAGGCCTCTGAGACATGTTGAAGGAGCTGCTGATTCAGTTCTACGGAGGAATTATTGAGTCTGTCATCTGCACCTCTATAACTGTCTGGTTTGGCTCTTCAATCCAACAAGACAGACACAGACTTCAGAGGATAATTAGAACTGCAGAAAAAACAATTGCTACCAACCTGTCTTCCATTGAGGACCTGTATACTGCACGAGTCAAAAAGAGGGCTGTGAAAATATTTACAGACCCCTCGCATCCTGGACATAAACTGTTTCAACTCCTACCCTCAAAACGACGCTATAGAGCACTGCACACCAAGACAACTACACAAGAACAGTTTTTCCCCGAACGCCATCACTCTGCTAAACAAATAATTCCCTCAACACTGTCAAACTAGTTACTAAGTCTGCATTACTATTAATCTTCTCATCGTTCCCACCATGCATCTCCTTCCACTTATGATTGTATGCTGTAATTTTGTTGCTTGTATCCTTTCGATTTATATTGATATTGTTTCGTAATTGCTTATTTGTACCCTATGACTATCATTAAGTGTTGTACCTTATGATTCTTTACGAACGTATCTTTTCTTTTATGTACACTCAGAGCGTATGCCCCAAGACAAATTCCTTGTGTGTCCAATCACACTTTGGCCAATAAAAAATTCTATTCTATTCTATTAACCAACTAAACAAACTAATACACAATCAGAGCCTGAATGGTATAAATCCTGCAGCCAATATAACTGAGCAGAGCATTGAGTACAACTATAACATGGCAGTGGACACTATGTTGGATTTTCAGTGAACCACACAGCATGGCTTTCTTGGGTACTGGAAGGGCTGCTCAAGGCCACTTTTGAAGCAGGTTAAACTACTCAGCAGCCTGCTCTTTTTTATGTATTTATTATATTATATTTATATACTATTTTTCCTCCAGGTGTTCAGGGGAGTATACAAGGTGCCCTGACCTCCAGTGTTTTTCACACAACCCAATGAAGTAGACCAGACTAAATGAAAATGGCTGCTTCAAAGTCACCCAGACCAGGGGTGAAATGCTCCCGGTTCAGACCGATGGCCCGATCCTGTAGCGATGGCGGCGGGTGGTTCGGAGAACCGGTAGCAAAAATCCCTGCGCCCTCCCTTCCCACCATGCCCAGCTGAGCCGCACGAACATCAGAGGCTTTTTCTTTTTTTACTTTTAAAAGCATTTTTTCTACAACCTCTTCCAACGAATAAATGCTTTTAAAAGTAAAAAAAAAAGCCTCTGATGATCGCGCGGCTCAGCTGGGATCGTCAGAGGCTTTTCAAAGCGTTTTTTTCTGCAACCTCTTGGCTGAAGAGGTGGTAAAAAAAATGCTTTGAAAAGTCTCTGACAATCGCAGCTGAGTTGCCTGATCGGCAGAGAGGTATTTTTTCAAAAGCCTCTCTGACAATCCCAGCTGAGTTGCCTGATTGGCAGAGAGGCTTTTCAAAGCATTAGAAAAAATGCTTTGAAAAGTTTAAAAAAAAAAAAAAGTTGGCCACGCCCACCCAGTCACATTACCCCCACCATCACCAAGCCACGCCCACAGAACTGGTAGTAACAAATTTTACATTTCACCCCTGACCCAGACCTCAGTGAGTTTCTATGGCTGACAGTGGATTTACTTGAGAGCTGACACCAGCTAGCCCAAAAGTAAACAGGCTTAAGACCAGACAAAAATATTACAAAACATTGTGAATGTGTGATCAACATCCAAAGCTGAGAAAGAGATGGCAAAAGAGTTGTTGCCAATTTAAAATGAGAGGAGATGAAGAAAGAGGAAATCCAGATGATCACTAGATGGCAACAAAGAGTTAGAGGGTTTTTCCTCACTTTGCTGCCGTCTGGTGATCACTAAGTGGTGAGTTGTCGGCTGCACTCAAAACACACTTCTGCTTGTTGCTGTGCTCTCTCCCTCTATGCCACCCTAGGCAAATGATGATCTTGCAGGAGACCACTACTGTGTTTGGTTATTTTAAACACTGAATGCCAAGTTGAGGCCACTTTTGCCAGCATTGACTGTTGCAATACCTTGCCAGTCATCCATAATTCGGTACAGCGGATTGGGCATGCTGCAAAGCCCATCAACCAAAGAGTGCCAATTTAGGGGGAACTAGTCTCTGCTATAGCCCCGGCTTTGTGAAACATTCTCCCATCGGAGATTAGAATGGCTGCAAACCTGTTGGCTAAGAAGGCTTTAAAAACCCTGACTGTGTACCAGGGCTTTGGGCTCAGAATATGTCAACAGCTACATTTCTTGTATTCATTATTAATTGGCTAGCTATCTTGGCTGCTGTGTATGTTTATTTTTTGGATGTTTTTATTGCTTTTAATTGTTTTAACTGTTTTATAGTTTTAGAATTGTAAACTGCCCAGAATCGCTTGGCTGAGATGAGCTACTGGAGAAATGGAATAAACAAACAAACAATGCCAATGGTTATCACTAAGCTGCCTCTGCCTCTCCTTTCTACACAAATCAAAGGCTGAGCAGGTATTTGACATTTGCCTGCAGACTGTGCAATGGACAGGATGAGGTTCAATAAACGGATGCTGAATCCAGACAACCAATCACAAGTCACAAGCCTGGATATTAGGAAGGTAGCCCGTTCTGGATGACGTAACACTTTCTCCTGAAGATCAAGTACGATGGGAGAAGCTAGCTAAAGGAAGATCCAGTTTGAAAATGAGTTTGACATTTTCCACCCAGGACTGTGGAGAAAAAAAAAATCTCCTAAGACAGTGATGGCTAACCTTTTTGCCATCATGTGCCAAAAGCGGGGGGAGGGCCGGGGGTTTGCGCGCGTGCGTGCCCACACCCATAATTCAATGTGCCCCATCCCCCGCACATGCACGCGTGACCCCCCCGTGCTCCCCCTGCTTTTGGCACGTGATGGCACAGTGGGCCCGGTAGGCCCGTTTTTCGCCCTCCCCAGGCTCTAGAGGCTTTCTTGGAGCCTGGGGAGGGTGAAAACGGCTTCCCCCCCCCCGTAGGCCCTCCAGAGGCTGGAAATGGCCCATTTCCCAATTTCTGGTGGGCCCAGAAGGCCTGTTTTTCGCCCTCCCCGGGCTCCAGAGGCTTTCTAGGAGCCTGGGGAGGGTGAAAACTGCCTTCCCCACCGCCCCGGAGGCCCTCCGGAGGCCAGAAACAGCCTGTTTCTTGATTTCCAGTGGCCCGGAAGGGCCGAAAATCAGGTGGCTGGCGCGCGCATGTGTGCTGGAGCTGAGCTAGGGCAACACTCGTGTGCCTGCAGATATGGCTTCACGTGCCACCTGTGGCATGCGTGCCATAGTTTCATCATCATGGTCCTAGGATATTCCAATAAGGAGAGGCCACTGGGCAGTGACTCAGAATGCTGCTGACTGCTCTGGTCTAAAGTCCTTCTCCCTCTTGTTCATATTCTCTAGATTGGGGCATGTGCACAAAAACACACAGATGTGAATTGCTTGGTGCTCTCTGAGCTTGGTTGTTTTCTGGCAGACATTTCATTACCCAAACTAGGTAACATCATCAGTGCTAGTAAGGAGTGGGAGTTTGTTGGGGTAAGTTCAAACTTAATGGACAGACCACTTAACCGTAATTTCAACTGGGAAACTGTGACCATCGTAGACCAAGCTTAGTCCAAAAATGCTAGGAAATTTCTAGATGCCTGGCACTCTGGCAAATTAAGCCATCAATAGACACATAGACACAAACAATATCTACATACTATGCAAAAGAGTCAATCAACAAGCCAAAAAGGGAACAAAAAGACCAAAACAACTCCCCACCAGCTATCAGCACCTCGATCAGGACTATCAAATTCCCGGCTGGATGCGTCATATGCTTGCCACGCCCACGCCGCGTTTAGCGAAGGGGGAAAAAGTCCCGATATGTGATGTGATCCCACAGTGACGATCTGAGTTTGACATCCCCTGACCTAGATGAACATAGATTATCTCCAAGATTAACATCAGACCAACAATCAAGTTCCCCGATCAAGGAACTGCCAAACAAGCTTAACAGCCCAATCAAAGAACCTCGAAGACCATGCTTGCCAACACCAACAGGGCAAGCCATTAGAATATAAAGTGAGAGCAATCCCCACTCCTTTCTCGCACTAATGGTGTTGCCTAGTTTTGGTAATGAAGCATCTGCAAGAAAGCAGTCAAGCTCAGGGAGTACCTAGGAGCCCTCATTTCAATCCTGAACTACAAATATTTTCTTTTATTGGATACACAGATGCAGCACAAGAAATCAAAACAGAAACACACAAAGCACATTAGTTTATTACACAGATGAAATACAGAAACTTTTTATGGCCGCTAGTAGTAAAAGGGTTGGAAAAAATTCCAGAAGCTCTACTCTGTGGATTTTCTATACTTTCTTCATTCTCACTTTACTAGTCTCATCTCCTACCTAGCCCAAAGAAGAGATTTCTCTAGGGGGCAGTAGAATGGAACAATTTACCACTTTCTCTTTCTGGATGATTTTCAGAAACTTTTTTTCCTTTTTCCCTGCCTCCATTTCTTAGTCCCAATTTGGCAAGGGTGGGATTGCCCATCTGGTCCCCGATAAGCTGCTATGTTTCTTCCCCTTACCTCTGCAGCAGCCCTGTGAATCTGCAGCGTGCAGCTGCCTGGATCAGACATTCATGAAGCCACAAGGATGCCAAGTTTCTTCCTGCAAGAGACAGATAACAACCTTCGTATCAGTCCTAGGGTTTGTCCAGAGAAGTGTTGGAGGGGTGTTTTTTTTTTAAATATGCGTGGGGTATTTTGTCAACTGCTCATCAATCAAGAGCTCTGGGCCAACAATTTTATTCATTATTAAAAATCGTGTAAAGTACAGGCTGAGGTCATCGTTATAGGACAAAGAACAGTTTGAGGGAGAATGTGGCAGAATGCAACAAAAAGCTGGAATGATAGTAGCCCAATCCTTCACACCATCTTCCTTTTTTGTCAAGTCAGGCTAAATTCCATGAAGCTGAGATTTCCGGAACTTTATGCTCTGGTCATAACTGTTAGAACATATTGAATTGATTCCATAGCACCTGTATTTTTATTTATTGAAGCTTGTTCCAGAGGTTAAAGGAAAAGCTGTCATCTATAAGCTTTTTTCCAAATTGATAAGGCTGCTGAGAACAAGAAGTCAAGCCTTTTGAATAGTGGAAGTGTTCGTGAAATTACAAGACTTCAAATGGCACCTATATGATGTTCCATGGCATATGTTTGGTGTAATAAGGCTGCAGAACAGATGGGGACAGTTCTGTTTTGGAAATGTTCTTTGTCTTTTAGCTATGGCATAAATCACAATTGTTTTTTCCATTAGTTTCCCACTTCAAAATGGCATGAAATCAAGACTTATTTTCAGAATTCATGTTCAAATAGGACCTCAAAAACTCAGAAAGGGAAATTATAGGCCACCAATTGTATTCTTCAATGCAACTGAGCCATGACTTATTTAAGCAAGTTAATCAATTGCCAGGTGTCACACAGCTAGCTCCAAACAAACAGACTACAGTATGCTTGCAGTGCTGTGCTATGTGAACCCTGTTTCTATGTTAGCTTAATTTACCTTGTAAGGTTATCATGAGAATAAAAATTATTCTCCACTCTTTCCAAGTTACAATCCTGAGCAATTGTGAAAGAGGTGAAGCTATAAACATAATGAGAGTCAGTTCCATGTTTTGGGGGGCGTTTGGGCAAGGGGTCTTCACTAGAAGACATTAGCAGAGCCATGGTGGCGCAGTGGTCAGCATGCAGCATTGCAGGCTAATTCTGCTGACTGCCAGGGGTTCGATCCTGACTGGCTCAAAGTTGACTCAGCCTTCCATTCTTCCAAGATGGGTAAAATGAGGATCCAGATTGTTGGGGGCAATAGGCTGACTCTGTAAACCACTTAGAGAGGGCTATAAAGCACTATGAAGTATTATATAAATCTTAAGCGCTCTTAATTACTGGATTATTAACTGATTAACATTTTAATTCACTAAGAATTAAAACAGTTCTCTGTTTTTTTCTCATTCACTAAACCTACTCCCTCATGGTCATAGTTGCTAACTGCTCCTCTTCCTTTTGATTTCTACTGCCTAGTTGCTTGTTGGTTTGTTTATTTGCTTGCTTGCTTGTTTGCTTGCTTTGGGCAAACACGTTTTCTGCCAGTTTGTTAGAAAAGATATGTGTGCAAAAACTTTTTCTTA